TATATATATATATATATATATATATATATATATATATATATATATTATAAGATTAGCAGATATAAGATCTGCTAATATATATATTAGCGAATCTTTTAGCTATCGCAACTAAATAACTTTGCTATGAAAGCAAGAAAATTTGCTCCTGCAGTTAATATTTTTAGTTGTCCATATATTAGCAAATCTTTTTTTTCCATGTACATACTGTCACTGTTCGCTTTTGACGTTTGCACGTCAGCATTTGTGCAATGGCCAATTACGACATGAAGATACGTCATATGATATGCGTTGATTGACTAAAATATATCCCACTATTCATAAACTATTAATTTATTGCGTAGGCGTTGGTCTCTTCGACGTGAGCTGATGCGAAATCGACGTCGACGTAGGTGACGACCTTTATCGCACCGGGTACCCCTCGGCTCCCGCTACTGTGTTAATTAATAATTTGCCATCGGGATTACTTCATGATTAAGCCCTAGATGATTAGTTGAGACAATTACGAGATTCTTTCCCGCATTACGAGTTAATCGAGTTCGGGTTGACGTGAAACGCGCGCGCGTCCAGAAAATTGCTCGTGCAAATTAAACGTGTTCTTAATTACACAAGAGAGTGTCTCGCGACACTAATATCCGCTGCGAATTGAATAGCGTGAAATGGCGTGAATAGAAATAGGAAAAAAAGCAAGGAAAAGTAAATACGTGGATCCCGAGTTATTCCTGTCTGCGAATTTTGCATCACTTCTGATTGCATCACTTCTGTAATTTAATATCTGTACAGTTTTTTGCTTTATTGTTGCTGTGAAATATTTTAATAAGTATTTTTCGTTACGTTTTCTTACTCATCTTGTGGGAATACGTTTGTTTTAAAGTTTATCACATTTGTGAAATCTAAAATATCTCGTCGAAAACGTGATTTCGATCAAAAGCGAGAGCAATCAAACTTGGCGATACAAAAACAGGCAGAATTTATTTAACATCGTACAAAATGCTGAATTACTGATTTTGGGGAACGGAGATAAACGTTTAGGCGAGTAGCCTTTACAATAAAAACTCTCTCTCTTTCTCTCCCTTCCTCTCTTTCCTCTGTGAACACACGGCGAATTTTTTCCCTTCGTTGTGGAGCTCGTACGTGCAGGTCCGAGCATCGCTGCGGATATTTCACGAGGCACTCTCTCTTCGGAAGCGCCATACTTCTACACAAAGAGTGATAGAGCTGTAAAGAGAGCGAGGCGAAAAGATATAGAGAACGCGAGAGAGAGAAGAAAGATATATGTGTGTGTGTGTGTGTGTGTAAGAGAGAGCAGGATGAAGAGAGGAGAGAGAGAGAGAGGAGAGAGAGAGAGAGAGAGAAAAGCCTCGTTCGAGCCACCCCGGCTCGTGTCACCCACTTCTGCGACGATGAGAGAGGGTGTACAGTAGAAATGTCGATAAAACGTGTCGGCCAATGAGCGAGCCCGATGTGACGTCACCACCACGGCATCGGCCAATCGGGTGGCGCCAGTGACGTCACCGGTGAGGGTGGAAACAACCCCCGACCCGGGACCCGAGAAGCCGCAGGCTTTTCTCTTTCTGGGAGCTGCTGGAAAGAGGGGTCGCTCGGCAGGGCGGGGCGCGAGGGTGGAGATTGTTGGGGCCACGGGGGGGTGGACGAGGGTAGCTGAGAGGCTGAGGGTGCGGAAACATGCACCGGTGTGGATGCCGGGGTGATGCCGGGGTGAGTCGCCGGTGGCGGCTCGGGCAAGCCCCAATATGGGTTTACTAATCCCGCGAAACAATGGAAATTGCCCGATGCAAAATGGCGATAGGTAAACCATCCTGGGCTCCCCGGGTGAGGCCGGGGGTAAACCTAAGAGGGTGGCTCGGAGATGAGAGTAAAAAATGAGAGCCCATTTTTGGCCCAAGAGGTTCGCGGCCCTTCTTTCGCGTCGCGGCGGAGAGGGGGAGGAGGGTGCGATCTGCTCGGTATCGCGGTAAGGGTTGGTCCTCGAGCAACCCTCGCCCGTTCGTACACCGCACGCTGCTTTGTTAGCCCTCTCGTCGCCATTTTGTTGCGAACACACGTGTCCCGATTGAATATCGCGTATCCAGAGTAACAGTCGTTTTTACGTACAAACTCGCGCACGTATAAGCCCTTCACGCTCGAAGGCTGCCGTGGCGGCGCCATCCGGAATTACTTATGAAACCCGAAAAACGTTGCGGCGGCAGCTGCTGGATTTGAAATCAGTTTCGAAACTAGCCGGTCGTAGCGTTTTCCGAATTTTGTTACAAGTTTTAGCTGGCGCCGCTACGGCGCGACTCCCGCGTCAGGCCAAAGGTTCGATCACGCGGATTAACGTCTCACTAAAATTATAGAGAGTCATCATCCTTGATCAATTATATGTTTCTCTAACGATAAAAAATCTACTAAATAGAGTAACAATATTCTTATAACATCATTATCACTAATATTATAAGGTATTTACGTGCTTACTGCGAAAAAAATAATTTCCCGTCAACTATCATTTATAACTACGGTTAACCGTAACTAAGTATGGTTAGCACTGTTAATAGTCAAACTGTTGGTTAACTGTAACTGCTTCACTGTGCAATTATAGTCAGCAATATTTCCCTCTCGATGCAGCGACACGATTCTCCGCGACTTTCGTTCACCGGCCATCGATCGTCTCGCACTGCTTCTCTCTCGCTCGCGTAATGAAAACTTCTCATATCAACGCGAGCTGCTCATTCACTGCTCTGTTTCCCCGCAGGTCTGGTTCCAGAACAGAAGAGCGAAATACCGGAAGCAGGAGAAGCAGCTGCAGAAGGCCCTGACACCGATTCCCGCCTGCCAAGGTGCCATGATGAGGAATATCTATCCTGGCGCCAGCAGGGGTTATCAACCCTATCCCCATCCTCACAACAGCATAAATGGCATAAATCGTTATCCCCAGGTGAGGCTCCCTTACGACGCGCAGGACGTTCCCGAAATTTCATTATTATCGATACCCGCCGCTTTGCACGCTCACCAATACACGCAACGCGAAGATACAGCCTCGATTATGGCAAGTAAATAATATAAACAAGACTGTTATGCGTATCGGATAAGAGTCGGGCGCGATTTTCGATGTGCATCTTTATCTCCGAATATACATTCTCTCTTGTTTCGTTAATTTCGAGAGACTTTTGATGTTATAATTAATTAGACACTTCTGCGGGAAGTCACGAAACAGCGAGAAAACGCGAAAAATATCGCGACTAGACAGATCGTCCTTTCGAGGCACACCGAGAGAAAAATTCCTCATTATCATAAAAAATTTTTTTATTATAAAATTATCCGAACGAAAGCACGTTTGCCGTCCGATAATCGTTAATGAAACAGATCGAACAGCCACCATCGTAAGTCGTCTCTCATCATTTGTTGTTTCAACATATACGTTGTTTTAATATATACGTTGCCCGAGATACAAATCACATTTGCTCTCGTTTATTTGATTTTAAATATATCTTCATTACAAAGAAGCGTTGCTCCGAGCGTTGCGGCAAATTGAAAGTAACTAATCATTCGTTCGTCGCACTACGACGGAGTCATTCGCTGTCAACGGAGACATTCGTCGCGGCTGCTAGGGTGTTTCGTTAAATTAGCGAAACTGTTTTTCTCACAGAGTGGCACGATCCGTTTGGATCGTTGAGGAGGGAATCGCACGGCACGTCCGGCGTATTATCTAAGAATTTCGATGCAACCGTCGGATAATTTCGAGGGTTCGCATGTCACGGGGGAGGAGGTGAAGGGGGAGGGAAGGGGAGGGGTGGGGATGGAGTATGAATTCGATGCGTTTCTCGTTAATGATTTTAACCGAGCTATTAAATTGGAGTGCACCTGAGCGTACGTCCGGCGGCGCATCGCTATCGGTCGATATAGCTAAATTGCATTTCGGCTGATTAGTTGGGTCGGCCGGATTACCGAATGCCTACCGCTTTAATTGAGCCAATAATTCGCGAGCGTGTCGGTTTCCCCCCGGAAAAGAAAACAACTCGTTCGTATGGATTACGCAGTCTTCGGTCTCGAATTCGAGATTGCGCGATATATTACGCACACGAATATCTCGTTTCGCTCGACGCTTACCAAACTTGACGTGATTCGTAGTTTCCCTCTTCCTCTCTCTGTCTTTTTCTGTCTCTCTGTCTTCCTCTCTCTTTCTCGTGGGGAGATAATTTCCAGCGCTTTTATCCGAAATGAAATCTCCCGTAAGAATTTTCCGTAAAGGGTGACGCCCGACAAGGCGCGCGCACTTGTCGCAACGAGCCACTTCGGCCGGATAATCGCGCTTGATAATCGCGCTTGATAATCGCGATATATCATGCCACGTGTAGGTACGCAACGTAACACGTTGGAAAATTGATTACGGCCCGGAAATAGACACCACGACACATTATTAATCCATCGTTTCAACAGTACGTGTTACGTGGTTAATTTTTACATAATGAAACCATATCTCTCTCTCTCTCTCTCTCTCTCTCTCTCTCTCTCTCTCTCTCTCTCTCTCTTCCTTCCCTCCTTGCTCTTTCTCCAAGTGCCCATATGACCCCACGAGATTAAACTCGCTGAAATTATGCCGGCTTCAGTCTTTTGTTCATGGCGAACTGGAGTGTACAGTGTAGTAAATCGCGAAACAGCGTGGCCAAAGCGAACGACTCGTCGAGCAAAACGCGAACCCACGCGAAGGTTCCTTCGGAGAAGCCATAAAAGTCACTCGGCGCCGGCGAAATTTACATTCGTTTAATTGTCGCATATATCGCGAGGCCAATATTGAGGGACTGAACTCTTCTGGTAGTACTAATAATGTAGTCAGTTGCAGAACACGCGGCTTAGACATTGTTTTCTAATAAAAATAAATATTACGAGTGTTTTAAGTTGTTCGATATCAACATGTCTCTCTCTCTCTCT